GTTAATGATTGTGAGTTTTGGTTTAATGGTGAAATGTCCATTTATTTAGAAGTCTAAATTGGGCAAACCTATTGGACAATAGGAATGCCATACATTAGTGTCGTGGGAGGTTTGTTTGATGTCTCAGGGTGTTAGATTTTTAAGAAGGTTGTTTGTTGTGGCACAGAGTCCCTAAAGCTAGCGAGGTATTCCTATGTGGGCTTTTTCTTTGTTTGACTTTTTCTTGCCTTTTTTCTTATCTCTTTTTCTATTTTTGGTTTTTGTGTGCTACCTTCAGTTGCTACGTCTTTATTTGTGAGCAATCTATACTTTTCTTATTCAGTGCCTAAAAATCATATATACTCGATTGCATAGTAGTTACTAATAGATACATTTATACCAATAGATTTTAAGTTTTATTAGTTGTTAGTTTTAATATTTACTTACATTGGTTGTTTATGTAGTTTTCTTTGTAATATTTCTCATTATACAACTAATTACTATGGCTACGTAGTTGTATAAGTGGGGGTTGGACATGATAGTTCTTAGAAGCATCAATACTTGAAGGTTATTATAATGACCAAATTCTAAAGTTATCGTTTGCCTTCAACTTGCTTGGAGCATTTCAATTATGCATCAATTGTTCTCTCCGTGTAGTTAACTCTCAGACAAATCGAAAATCTTGCTGATATGTGCTTGATTGTAGTTAAATTTAGGGTTCTACTGCATTGTTGCTTTACTCTTTTTTCGTGGTTGAGTCTGCTTCAAAAAATTTAGTTTAATTTTAGAAAATTTTGCTTCTGCAGTCCTGTCTTGCCACCAACGCGTTCAATAGATGGAGACGGGAGAGGCGAAGGCTATTTTTATGTTGTTGTTGCTGGTTTAGGGATCGGTTTGTGAAGAAGAGGGAGAAGAGAGGGGGAAAGGGAAATGCAGGAGAGGGGGATAACTCTTTTCTCCGACAAAAATGGAGTGAAGAAAGGAATTATGATCAGTAAGAATATGGTTATCTTACATAACGGTCTCTATTCTGTTTGAATTGAGCTTGAGAGGCAGTGATAAGGACGAGCTGCAACCAATTCATAGTGAGAAGAGAGCTATGAACTGAGATCATGTCTTATTTCAAGTTAGAAGGTAGTTTCAGTATAAGGATTATTTAATTTGACAAGTTGTTTCGTCCATGATTCTTGGTAGTTTCAGTGCCATTCTAGCCAATGTTTAGTCTGTAATTTTTGAGAATTGATGTGCGAGTAATGACTTTCACTTAGCTTCAACTATTATGTGTGTATTTATTGGCATGTGATAGAATTCTCTTTTCCTTTTCATTGAATTCATTTCATACTCTAATTGTATTATTTGTACATAGGCAAATCATGCTCGAGATGGCAACTCGCTGATATGGCTGGTGCAAGGAATGAAGCCATCATTAGAATTCAGACCGACAACGGGGAGGGATGCCCGGGACTAATTCATTGATGATTGATGATGGTATAATAAAAACTGCAGTCTGCATCAGCACCAATTTCTAGGCCTAAGTAAAGGTATTCAACCCAGAACTCTGCTTAGTGCTAAAAATTGCCCTCACCCAACCTTGATCCTGTTTGACCCACTTCTGAAGAGTCAAGATATATGACTAATCCTCCCGTTCGTATTTTCTTATTGACTCTTTCTGACCCTGTAGGTAGGAATGGCAATGGGGCAGGTCCGGGCCGGGTTTCTTGGTACCCAGACCCGCCCCGTGGCAGGGCGGGTCCAGGTCGGGTAATTGATCACGGGTCGCGGGTTAGGGCAGGTCGACCCAATGGGTATGCAATTTATTTGAAAAACATTAGAAATATTCGTTATTTTTATTATAAAACTAAGAAAATAAACAATATTATGACAATTGTAGTTAAATTATTAGAGAAATTGAGGTTTTCACTAATTTACAACTTTATTATAGCTAAAATATGATGCGATAAAAGTAAAATTCAAAGTAATTTGACTAAGATTTCATGTAATTTAGACAAGAACGGGTCGAGAATGGGGCGGGTCAGGGCAGGTCGGGTCGATGAGACTACCCATGCCCGCCCCGCCCCAAAACAGGTCAAACAGGTCGGGTAAAACGGGTCAGGTCGAAATTGCCATCCCTACCTGTAGGTTGAGGCGGGTCGGGAAGAATTGGATTAGTGGGTCGGTCCTAATCAAGTGGAATCCCAATCCCTTCACTCTCACTTGCTTTCTCTCCCATTCCACAAGTGGGTAACATACAGTAATCCGGCCAACGGGCCGGGTAATAAGCTAGTTAGAATTAGAAAGCCCCAAACAAAAGGACGCAGTTCACGGATACTGAGCAACGAGCCACCGCCAATGCTCGAGGAAAGTCCATCAACTCCTTTACATAGTGGGCAGCTTCGTAGACTTCAGAGAAATCCACCACGTCCAATGCTCTGCAAAACAAGCAAACAACAAACATAGCCAACAAGGACTATTCAAGTATCAATAGGCCCAATTAAGCTTTGAGACCCAAAAGCAGCAAGCATATGGAAGAAGGAACTAGGGCCCAGCTACTTGACCTGATAACAATGCAAGCCACTAATAGAAAACAAATTCCATAACGAAAAGAGCCCGTTCAAAAATTGCAGCAATAGCCGACGAGGAAAGACCCCTTTATGCTAATCCATCTCACCGCCTGACCGCCACAGTGAGAGACAGAGGATGGAGGCCGCGGTAGTTCCGATGAGTTCTCACCGGTCGGAGAAACTGGTAGATGCCAGATCAAGGGGAGCTCAGGAAATGAAAGTGAAGACAGAACAAATGCGCGCGTAGCGGGGGTTAATTCCATGAATATTGTTTTTTTTAATTTACCACGAATATAGTGGTTTTAAAACTATTTACAAGAATATTGTGTTTTTTTATATGTTGAAAGCGCCGAAGCCCCAGTCCGGGGCGCCGCCGCTAGGTGCTTTTTTAAAAACAAAACTTGGCGGCGGCGTCCCGGACTGGGGCTTCGGCGCTTTTGAAAAAGTAAAAGCGTCGGCGCCCCGGACTGGGGCTTCGTCGCTGCCATTTTTTTCCACTCCAGCACCACCCATTCATATATATACTGCACCTTTCCTTCGGTTCTTCATCACCAAAAAACTGAAAGTAGTTCTGAGAGAAGCTCTGGTGTTGCTGTCTGGTTGCTGGGAAGATGGCTAATAACAGGTAAGAGTCGTAATTTTTTTTTCATGTATTCATCATAATGATTTTGTCCAGTTAGTAATTAGAGTTTGTTTTTAATGTAGTGGTTTTAGAAGATTTGAACTAGCTGTTCGGTGGCGATCAGAGAAAGTAGAAGACAGTTTGGGTGTCCATTTTTTTGGTGGTTTAAGTTTCCAGATGACTATTCCATCCAGGGTGAACTATCAGAAACTTTCTGATCATATAATTCGGAGAATACGGATTAGAGACGAAACAGTACAAGATAGTGTTGTGATTACAGGTTTCACCTACTGTCTTCCAGAATGGCAGAATGGTGTTTTATTTCATTATGCAATGCCTATTGTCGATGATGATAGCTTAAATGTGCTTTGGAATTTTATGGCACAAAATCCTTATTGTTTGGGTGCTGAGATACATGCTGAGCTCAGTGAGGATCGGGATGGAGAGGAAGACGATGATGACGGTGATGATACATGGAGCGTGCCATCCGATCATGCCTATGATGACGGTGATGACGGAGAGGAGGAAGAGGAGGACGGGGAGGAGGAGGATGGGGAGGGAGGAGAACTACCTAATTATCCTCCATATTTTTACTTGCAGGGTAATGAAGAGGACGAGGAATTATCATATGCTGATTCATATGGCGTAATTCCAGGGTCTACTGTTGGTGGTTTTGATGGAGAATTCTACAAGGGGAGATATTTCACTCGAAACAAGCTGCACAGGTGGCGATTAAGCACTATGCACTACAACGCAACTTTCAGTATAACATGGTGGAGTCGTCACCTTCAATCTCGAAGATCAGATGTTTGATGCACAAGGAGGACAAATGTCCTTGGATGGTGCGGTTTGGATGTCGAGATGTGGGAGGCGATTGGAGCGTGAGAAAGGTCAAGTTGGTGCATACTTGTAGCAGTACGACTCAACCGACGGATCATCGCCATCTTGATGTCGACGTGATATCTGAGGCCGTCAAACATTTGGTACGTGCCCAACCTAATCTGAGTGTTCTAACTGTGCAAGCCGAGTTGAAAGATAAGTTTAATATGCAAGTTACTTACAAGAAGGCTTGGTATGGGAAACAAAGAGCATTGGAGAAGTTGCATGGAAATTGGGAAGAATCCTATGATTTTTTGCAAACATTCTTGCGGGTGGTCAAGAGAAAAATGCCAACATCGGTGATTGATTGGGTAAGAGTTCCTTCGACTCAACCAGGTCATTCGATATTCCAGCGAGTATTTTGGGCTTATGGACCTTGTATAGATGGATTCAAGTATTGTCCAGGCGTCATGGTTGTTGATGGGACATTTCTTACTGGGAAGTATAAAGGAGTGCTACTCATGGCGAGCTCATTTGATGGTCGGAAGAAGATTTTTCCAATTGCATTTGCCATAGTGGAGAGTGAGAATACTGATAGTTGGCCATGGTTCATACGTCACGTTCATGGTTTGACTGATCGAAATGATGTATGCATCATCTCAGATAGACATGCAGGACTCTATGAAGCCATGAATAACATCGGAAGAGGTTGGGAGTGGAGGTGGTGCATGCGACACTATGCAAGCAAAAATCTAATCTCAGCCGCGGAATGTGGAGGATGAGGCCGGTCCTGAACCATCCCAAACTGTCCTAGCACGCGATCTGGATGATGCCACATCTGCGATGAGAAGCAGATCAGCGGAACTACTACTCGAAACGTGTGGGACTGGATCACGGTACCGCTGTAGTCCTGACCTCTATGAAAGTACGGACGCCACTGCACACAAGGATTGGTCACATAATAACTCCTAAATCTATAATAAATCAATTAAAACTATTCTATTCTATAAAACTAAATGTTATATACTAACCACGAATGTCGTGCACTCGTCAAACCACAACTTGTACAAGTAGAACTGATCTCCATGCTGACGGGTGTGGGCCGGAAGCCACCGAAGGCCACGTGGCACTGCGTCCTGAGTAATCTGCGCACCCGTCACCGCATGTAGTGGTGATGTATGAGGAAACCGCTCCCACGTCCAGATCATCAGCAAGGCGGACCATCCACCAAAGTCACCACCCAGTGAAGAAGATGGCGTCATCTGCAGTGCCGATCTACCCATCTCACGGTACAAGTAGGATAGCACAGCTGATCCCCAAGCAAACCTCCCCGCTCTACGCCAATCCTCTACCAAAAGTAGATACTGCAGGTGATTTGAACCTCCAGACCGATCGGAGAACAAGACACCTCCCATCAGAGACAGCGCATACGCTCTAGCAAACTGCTCTGTCGTCTCTGGTGATACAGAAAGCGGTAGCTCATCGAAAGTCTCCCTGAGCCAAGTAATCCGGATGACGCCGCCACCAAGATCAGTAGGAGCCTGTCCTAACAGTCGAAGACACATAGCCGACTAGTCCTCGTCTGGTATGTCTACTATGACGGCATCACCGTCGATCGCTAATCCGGTGAGTGTCGCAACGTCCTCTAGGGTGATCGTCAACTCACCGAACGGCATGTGGAATGTCGATGTCTCGGGTCTCCAACGCTCTACGAGCGCAGTAATCAAACCCGGATCACCGGTAAGAGGGGCTAGTGGCAGAACACTAGACAAGCCGGCATCGACGAGATACAGCAAGTACAGTGGATTGTATCGAACTAAATTGCCCGTATGACGAATGTGGTATGGTCGATCACCAGCCTATAATTAATGCACAAAACTATATTAATTCAATTCCTTCAATTTAATTCACCTAATATTTATATTTATATATCTAAACTAAACTTATTCTAATATAATATTCTTAATTTAATCTAATAATATTCTTAATTTAATCTAATTCTATTCTTAATTTAATTTAATTCTATTCGTAATTTAATTTAATTCTATTCTATTCTATTCTATTAAACAGCTAATAAAAAAAAACTATAGAAATAGTTTAAACAACTTACCTCATTTGCCCAAACTGCGTCAATCCGATGGTGACCATGCCCCCAAAGAAGTTCCGGATCATTCGGAGCAGTATCGATTGTCGTAGGTGGTGGTCTCATCGAACAAGGATCGATAAGCCTAGGAACTGAAAAAAAATATTAGAACACAAAAAAAAGCGGGAAAAAAAGTCGCCGCCGGCAGGACTCACTCCGGTAGCGTTCACGGCCGCCGCCACGCCGGCCTCGGCGTCCTCTGCCGCCGGGGGCCTGCTCGTCGTCCGACATAGCGCCGCCGCTTTAGTTGGAGCGCCTTCGCCTTGTGCCGCGCGCCGCCGCCTGGGACTGGGGCTCTGCCGCCTTTCTCTCGGCGTCGCCGCTCTCGTCCTCGGCGCTGGGATGGAGGATGAAGGAGGAGGGAGGAGCGGAGAGGGAGAGGGATGGGGTCTGGTGCGAAAGGGAGGGGAGGGAGGGGATAAAAAAAAGGAACCTTGATAGCGACGGCGCCCAAGTCTCGGGCTTTGGCGCCTTTTCTAATTTTTGAAATTTCAAAAAGCGCCAAAGCTCGAGACTGGGGCGCCGTCGCTATCTACACCCTTTAAAACTCGAATATCTGAGTCTCGGGCGCCGTCGCCAACTTCCCTCCAAAAAACACAATATTCCTGTTAATAGTTTTAAAACCACTATATTCGTGATAAATTAAAAAAAACAATATTCATGAAATTAACCCACGTAGCGGCGGCTCCGCTGGCTGCGAACCATCTGAGGGGAATGGGGATCGAAAGCAAATACAAAAGCAAACCATAACAGGGACACAGAAATCAACCAAAGAAAACTGAGTAACAACTAATAAACACTAATTAAACAGCAGCGTCAATCTTAAACAAGTCAATTTGAATAATAAACATTATAATAAGCCAAGTTGAACAATCAAAAGAGAATTAATTTTGCAACGATACTTCAAATTGAATTTACGGGTCGTTTGCTTCAAGGTTTTGTTGATGGATTTGGTGATGGACTTGCATTTATCATGGACTTTGACAAAAGTCTATTGTTTGTTTGGGCTCAAGTTAGGGTGCATAACCCATGGTTATGCACCTATCAATAACCAAATCTGGACCCTTCATTTAGAAAATACAGATCTAAGGATGGAGAATTAAATGTCATTTTTATTTTCACTAGTTTTCTTAATTGACTCATATCTTTTTCGTTTTTACTCGGATTTTAATTTTTTTTTGCACAGATGGAACGAGTTCATCGTGCTCTACAAAATGAGATCAATTTTCAATATTTTTTGAGGAAAAAACAATTCTGGCCTCTCGGTACCAACTGCATACCATATGGTATCTTCTTCGTTTTTAATTCATTTTTGAAAACGTTTGCACAGCAAGGACGAGTTCATCATGATCTATTGGATCTAAAAATTTCTGGGTGAACAAATTACAAGACCAAAAAATACCACACAATACCATACAATACCACCCTGGTACGGGGTGGTATCTTATGGTATCTTATGGTATACAATGTTAAAAGTCGTAAATGACAATTAATATACTTCTACTATCATGTATTCAACAATCCTACAGTTTTGGTTTGTGTCATACCACCATGGTACGCTTTTCAAACCATAGGTATGCCCTTATTTCAATACCAGTCAATACCATATGGTATAGACTGGTAAAAAATGGCTCAATTTTTTTTGTTCGAAAAATATATCAAAGTGGATATCATTTTGAAGAGCACAATTAATCTGATCTAACTGTGCAAAAAAAATTAAATTTTGACTTAAAACGAGTGAGAAATCGTCCTTCAAAGATTAAGGAGGAGAAAATTAAAGATTTTCCATGAGAGAGAGGATGCTGATGTCATGCTGATGTGGGCGGGTTGCTCATAGTTACTGACCATAAGGTTACTGACCTGATCCATTCCCGTTTGTTTGATGGAATTGGAGGGAGTAAATCCGTGGGGCCCACAGAGTTTGGAGGTCCAGATTCGTAGACCCCACGGACTTGGAAGTTCCACCTATGGAGGTGGGAATTGGGTGATGGATTTAAATCCATGATGGCATTTTACTAGTTTATCCCTACTTATTTTACCTAATGACTAATCTACCCTTCCTTCTTTTCCGGTGGCGGCCTCCAACTCTCTGTCCTCAGTTTTTCATATTGAGCAATGAATGGTAAAGGGACTCTCATGTTTGTTCTCCTTGTCTCTTTCTTTTTTTGGGCTTGTTTAACATTAATTTCTCACATAAATTGTGAATTTTGGGATGAAATTTTGGATTAAGCGTGGTGCTCGAGTTTGATAAAATCGGGACATTTTCAATTGTGGTTGAATTTCACATCTTCGTCTACCAGAGTCTTCTATTTACTCCTCTATTGATATTTCTAACACTTTATGCTCATCTTGTGCATTATTGCTGGATCAACAGTTGGATCCAAAAATTAGGGAGTTGTGTCATGTCCAAACTATTATGCATTTCTATATTTGTAATTGAACGAGTTCACAAAGTAGAAATTCAGTTACTTTGTATGCATTAGATTGGTTTTTAATGGAAATATAATTACATAAGGGTAACAAGGTAATTTGTATTTCATATCCACAAATCTAATTAAATAAAATTCATTATCAAATCCAACAAGCAAACAATAGACTTGTTCAAATCCATGATGCCACCAAATCCATCATATATCCATGGTTTTTCAAAACCCAGATTTTACCAAAACTCTCATATTTCAAATCCATGAAGCAAACGACCCGTTATGGGAAAATATCACCAAAAACCGAGAGGCCAAAAGGAGACAGATGATGGCGAGACAGAGATGACAGTTTACAGCGCAGGACCTCGAGGGTGACCCAAGCCGGCTGCTCCGACTGGTCTTGCTAACAATCGGAGTGAGAGCGACGCCTCTCTAATCGTCGTTTCTGGAGAAAATCGAGAGAGTTCTGAGGTGACTCTCTGTTTTTTCCTTACGCCCAACACGGGAACGGATCAGACCAGTAACCTTATGGTAAGTAAACATGACTAACCCGTCCATATCAGCATCCCTCTCTCTTCTGGAAAACCTTTAATTTTCCCCTCCTTTATCTTTGACGGACGATTTCTCACTCGTTTTAAGTCCAAATTTAATTTTTTTTGCACAGTTAGATCAGATTAATTGTGCTCTTCAAAATTATATCCACTTTGATATATTTTTCGAACAAAAAAAATTGATCCATTTTTTACCAGTCTATACCATATGGTATTGACTGGTATTGAAATAAGAGCATACCTATGGTTTGAAAAGCGTACCATGGTGGTATGAACAAACCAAGACTGTAGGATGGTGGAATACATGATAGTATAAGTATATTAACTGTCATTTACGAATTTTAACATTGTGTAACACAAGTTACCACCCCGTACCAGGGTGGTATTGTATGGTATTGTGTGGTATTTTTTAGTCCTGTAATTTGTTCCCCCAGAAATTTGTAGATCCAATAGATCATGATGAACTCGTCCCTTCTGTGCAAATGTTTTCGAAAATGAATTAAAAATGAAGAAAATACCATATGGTATACAGTTGGTACCGAGAGGCCACAAAATTTTTGTTCTAAAAAAATATTGAAAATTGATCTCATTTTGTAGAGCACGATGAACTCGTTCCTTGTGTGCAAAAAAAAAAAAAAAATTAAAATCCGAGTTAAAACGAAAAAGATATGTGCCGACTAAAAAAACTAGAGAAAATAAAAATGGTGTTTAATTCTCCATCCTTAGATGTGAATTTTCTAAATGAAGGGTCCATATTTGGTTATTGATGGGTGCATAACCCATGGTTATGCACCCTATCTTGAGCCGCCCAACACTTGTTATTTGCATTTCAATATATTTCGCTGAATTTGAATCGTCAGTTATCGTTTTTTTATATTAAATGATTCTTGTGGCTCGGGTTAGAGAATTAGGGATATGAGTTTAACCATTAGAGATTAAGGTATAATATCATGTCCCAAACTGTGGTTAATTTATGGTCTAAATAGTAAAACTCGACAGGCTTACGATAGTATGAAGTATGAACACAAGCGTACGCTAGTCTGAACCATATATATACATTGTTTCTTCTATCATACCTTGGATAAAATATAAGATACAACATACCCTTAGGAAGAAAATACTATCTAAATATCAAATTAACCGGATGTGGTCAATTACCTATTCAGCTCCTGATAATCATGTTCGTTCTCTTTCGGTTTGCTTCTTGATAAATGTAATTAACCAACTAAAAGATTTGTGTCCATTTCATGTATATTGGGGACTTGGGGTCGTTTGGCTTTAGGGATTTGGGTAGTGATCCCGACGGCGGCCAGCCTAGTTATTATGTTAATTTAAAGATTCGTTACTATATACTAATTAATATCTAAAATGTATGAATTAATATTCAAGTCTGTTGAGTATCTAGATTGCACAGACTAGTATTCAAAACATCACCAACTAGTATCCAGATAGCATATACCAACTAATATCCACAATCAACCAACTAGTATTCAACATTGATACTTTTATGTGTTATCTGGATACTCTTATGTGTTATCTGGATACTAATTATGTGCTGTTTAGATACTATTCTGTGTTGTCTAGATATTAGTTTGTGAATTTGGGATAATAGTTGATTCATGGTGGATATCAGTTAGCAAACTTTGAATACTAGTCTGTGCTCTCTAGATACTTTAGTACTTGGATATTAATTCATGTATTTTGGATATCAGTTAGTATCTGCTAAAGAATCTTCAAGTTAGAAGATTAACTTTTCCCGACGACGGCGGCGGGAGGGAATGCGGAGGTGGTTATCTTTATTTCGTGTAGATTTTGTTGGGATGAGAATAAATTAATTTTTATATTATTTAAATGCAAGGTGGAGATTTAAAAAGATTAAAATTTAATTTTTTAATTTTTAATTGCCACATCACATATTTAACGGTCAACTATTACAGTTGACTGTCACATCAACCAAAGTTAACGGAGACTAACGGAGAGTGAACAAACATGAACGGTTAAACTAATTTTAATGGCCATGATTGGAATAAAACAATTTTAGTGGCAAACGTGAAACTTTTTAGTAATTCTGGTGATCAAACTTGCAATTTACCGAATCTACTAAATGGGTACGTTTATTAATTTCACAAAGTAGAGGGGTACAAAATGCTATTAACTCATAATAAACGAGAAGCGGAGGTTAGAATGACACAATATAATATAATAAATAAATAAATAATTCGAAATAAAATTAAAATATATTTTCCAATATTATTTTTCCATTATTGTTTGGTTGGTATCTTAGTTTTGCAAAAACTTTATACTAATGAACTACTTTGGCCGAAATTTCTCAAAATTTTTTCATGAACAAAATTGCTAACTATTTGTACGGGGTCGTTTGGATGAGTCTTTCTAATGAGGCAATGTGGCCCAATTGCCTCAAAATGAGACAATTGAGCCAAATTGCCTCATTTGGCATCACAAAAACGAAATGGATCATTTTGGGCCGGGTAAATTGTAATGGACTCGTTAGGCGTCAATTGGAAATATCTGGGTGGGGCAGGTATTTTACATTGACGCGTTTTTTGGGCACACCTTCCCATTGTGGCCCTCGTTACTTTTCTCCTTCCTCTCTCTTCAACGATGCCCTGCTTCTTCTCTATTTCTCTTTCTCATCTTTCACTATAGACTATATGCAACGGGCTTTAAAAAATCACTAGTCTTCTCTTCTCCCTTTCACAGCAAGATTTGGGGGTTCTACGAGCACGCCGTCCGCCATGAAGATATGAATCGCCGTCGGTAGGGGGTTTCTCCAAGCATGACATATGCCATTAAGAGATGACCCGCCGCCAATAGAGAGGATAAATGAGGGTTTCTCTAACGCGCCGTTGAGCTAGCTTTCTGGGTTTGTGAAGTGTTGCTCCTGATTCGAATAATCAATAACTTGTTCCTCCCAATTGTTGACGGTCTAGCTTCTGTCGATTGCTCATCGATTTTCAATTTTGTTTTGGATCGATGCTCAACAATTCTTATCACATAAGGATTCCAATTTATCTTCGATGAGTTAACCTTCCTTGCATCACTTAATCTTTTCATTCATTTCCATAATACATGACTCATTGTTTCATCGACAAAGATCCTAAGGTAATAGATGTTGAGAAATGAATAATTGCTTCTAATTAATTGAAAAATAAAGTAGTGTACAAACTTTCATTGGACGATTTCCACTCATATCACTTACTATATGTAATAAAATAAAATAAAATAAAAAAGGCCTCAGCGGGTGCCATTTTGCGACCTCTGCCACTAGCCCCCGTCCACTTGCATTAGGGAGCAAGCCGAGATACCAAACGCAAACAGACCCAACCCCCCCTCCTGTTCTTACCTCTACCCTCTGAAAGAAACAAATCAGACAAATTTCTTTCCTTTTGACCCCGCCTTTTTTCACACATTTAATTAAAACAAAATGCGAATCTCTCTTTAATTCTTTCTTGTGTGGTAGCTCTGAATTAGAATTGGCCACCCTCGAAAGTTTGCCCAAACTGCCACCCACCAGGCGCCACATTATTGCTGGTCATGGTCCTGCCATCGCTAGTGGTCACCTGGAAAGACAAGCTCTGGCCGTTCAAGTATGAGTTGCTCTGCCAGTTCTGGCCCCAATTCCTCGACATAGCTTGCCACCCTGTTTTGGACCCTTTGATCGACACCGACCTCACATCCCCAGCGCCACCCACGTTCGTCACGAGCACCAAGTTGAAGTAGGAGTGGCCGTTGATGGTGAACCTGACCCCGCCCTTCTTCATACACGGAACCCTCCTGAACGACACGGGCACGATCCCGGCCCTGTACTGGGCGATCTGGAGGAAAGCTGGTTCGGCCAAGTCGAAGTGCTCGAGTGGCGGGTTGCACCACCCGCCGTTGTCGTTGGAGAGGCCCAAGTTTGGGGGGCAGAAGTTGGTCGCCGTGACGATGATCGAGCCCGGTCTGCACCACCTCGGGTCGTTGTTGCACTGGAGCTCGTAGCATGCCCCGCAGCTCAGCCCGCTGTTGAACAACGCAGTGCTGAGGGCTGCAGTGTTGGTGCCGTACCCTTGGCTGTATAAGTTGCCGTACCCACAAGCACCTCCTGCCACAATAAAAAAAAAAAAGACAAAATTTTGTTACTTGTCAGATTGCTCAATAGATAAAATAAAAATAATTACTTCATTTAGAAAGGGAAAAAAAAAGAAGACTAGGTGCCACCGACAACTTTTTTTTACACCTATTTGGGAGCTTTAACAGTAAGAGATTTTGTGTCCACCTCAGCAAACAGTATATTATTTAATGTGCATAAAGAGCCTAGTATTGCCGAGGGAAAAACTAACTAAATTGGATGGTAAAACTCAAATTAACGAGTAATTAAATTTGGACAGATGAAATGATATATATAGTAACATACCCATTGTGCCAGAAGCATCACCACCGCCGTAAAAGGTGGCGTGGCCGCCGACCCATCCTCCGTAGTCGGCAAATGCCCCGGTGACTGCGATCATTAGTAGCACAAGAATGGAGGAGACGGATGAGGAAATGGCAGCCATTTTATACTTTGTTTTTCTTTTTTTATGGGTAGAAGGAGAGAAGCAGTGAGTTGGTTATGAGGAGAGGAAGAAGGGGTTTATATAGGCAAACGAAAAATGCAACCGAATTGGACGTCAGACTTGAAAATTTGTTGCTGTGCAAATTTGGGGGATCGGATCGAGTTGTTGTGTTGAGGAGGTCGTATCGCGGAATCAAAGAGCGCACATGCAGATGTTGTAAACAAGGAGGAAATTTGGGGTGGTGGGAGTGGAGCCGCCTTGATACTTCCCTTCCCACATGGGTGGTGTCACCCGTTTTTATTTTCTTCTTCATTCGGTAGGCGCACTACATAATTAGTGAGTCACTTAGTATTTCTTTTCTTTTTTCTTTATTACTCCTAATCCTAACATCCCACGCACACATCACATTTTGGGGTGGCGGAGCGAAATCAAATTTTGGGCGCTATCTGTAGCAATTTTATGCATCAATTGGGCTTCGTTCCCAACAGCCATACACCTTCGGGAACACCACACTGGACTACGAGGAGCATCAAACCCAGGACATCATATATCCCGGGACGACCTATACCGTGACGGTATCGCTAGACTATCTTATCTTTGACATGTGCTAATTCAAAAATCATCGTTGCCTGACGTGGAACGAACTCAGAACCTTGCGTGAGACGATACACCAGCTAAGCTAGAGTATAATATACAATATATTAGATAAGATACTAGACGCACCCGACCTACCTCACCTTCTGTTGGAGGTATTATCAAATGAATTCAATGGGCTAATTGATTTCCTGAAATTCCGCTTCTGACGAAATTTCAGAGCCTTAGATTGGGCCGGACGGGAGGGGGAGCTTTCATTGTCAGTGGTCCATGTTCTGCCCACACTAGCATTTACATAACTAATTTCTTATGGTTATGCTACTTATCGACAAGCTTACCTTGATGTGCTAACCAGTAACCATAATGCTTAATGGAATTAATTAGGATTATAGGTATAATATGCCACTTTACTATGACGTTTTATCAAACATGTCCCTTTACTATTTTTTACAGCAAATATGGCAATGTACTTTGAAAAAATTATCAAACATGCCCTTATGTTAAAATTTCCATTGAAAAAATCGCCAATCATGGCTGAACCGAGATTTAGACAACCCGACATCGGCAAATGGGAGCGAAAATGTCAGTTTTGTCTCCCGTTTTATTTCTCTGGGTCTCTTAAAAGTGAAATTATTTGAATTATTTAGCTATACAAAAGAACAAAAAAAAAAAATCTAAAGTGAAATTATTAGGGATATTTTAGACATTTGTGCCGCCCAAACCAAAATTCGACCTTGGTTAATGGTTTTTGGATGAAAATTTAAACAAAAGGGCATGTTTGATCGTTTTTACAAAGTACAGGGGCATGTCTGATGTAAAAAAGAGTAGAAGGGCATGTTTGATAAAACGTCATAGTAGAGGGGCAGATTATACCTATAACCCTCAATTAACTAACTATGTACAAGAATCATCTAAACTTGTTAAGTAGGCATTACTTTTAAGATAAACTAGTTTTTTGACCCGCACTTTGCAGCGGTAAGAAAATAAATATATTTAAAATTTAATTCACTCATTTAATGATTTAGTTGAAATCAATAATTCAAAATATCATAAAATACTTGTATATGTTTACGTAGTCTCGTAATCATTATCGAAGACTTACATAATACATTTATTTTATTGATACATAAAAAATAAATATCACTCTATAAATTTTGCATACATGGTATCGTAATCATTATGTAAAGTTTATGTAATACATTTTACCGTTGATACACATTTTATTAAAATAACTGTCATACATTTACGAAAAATTTATGTAACACCAGTGAAAAAGTACCGTAATACTATGTAGAGTTTATGTGAAATGAAAAAGTACTGTGGTAGTTGTCTCAAGATAAAAAAAATTTATGGTGAAATTGAGTGTAAGAGATGAAAAAACGAAAAATTACATAACCAACTGGTGGAGAAAAAAACTTATGGTAAATTTAGGTGTAGATTACAAAAAAAATTTGGTGAAAAATGAAAGCGTACCGAGATAGTTCTCTAAATGTAAAAAACATTATCTTGAAATTGGGAGTAAGATATGGAAAGCAAAAAATTACATAAACTAATTGGACACAAATCTTCAGGTCATTGGTTTACATGGATCAATAAGCAGTCAAGGAATTCAATTGCAAGAAGACTTGATAGGGTGTTTGTCAACTTAGTTTGATTAGATGGACTTCCTATAAGTACAGTTGATATCCTTGACCCATCTATTTCAGATCACTGTCCCATTTATTTGGATACTGATAGTTCTCTCCAATCTTTGCCCAAGCCATTCAGATTTTTCAAGTTTTGGATTAATCACCCCGCATTCTTTGAGCTTGTGAAAGAAGCTTGGAATTCTGAAGTTTTAGGCTCTCCTCTATCTAGGGTGTGCAAGAAGTTAAGAATCCTCAAGAAGTTACTCTAAGCACTTAATAAGGAAGTATACTATGATATTAGAGAAAGATTGAAGTTGAAGGAAACAGAAATGAAGTATGCTCAGATGGAAGCCTTCTCTACTCCTTCAAGTGAGACGTTTGAGGCAGAAATTGTCAAGAGTAAAGAACTCAAACAGTTAAAATTGGATGAAGAATCCTTCTTGCGCCAGACATCCAAAGAGGTGTGTCTTAAAGAAGGTGATTCCAACTCGCCTTTCTTCCATCGTTCAGTCAAGGTTCATCAGCAAAAACACACCATCAGATCGCTTATAAATGATGCTGGTGAGAGAGTTATTGATACAAGCTCAATGTGTAAGGTGGTTGTCTCCTTCTATGAGAAACTTCTAGGAACTAAGGATAATCTAGTTCATAGCAAGTCTGTTGCTTATTTTCAGAAGCAGTTGAGGAGAAAGCTCCATTGCTCTCAGACTCAAGATTTTGTACAAACTTGTAACTTTAGAGGAAATCAGGAAGGTTATGTTTGGCTTCAAAGGAGAGAAGAGTCATGGCCCTGATGGATTCTCATCGTCTTTCTTTCATGTTGCCTGGCATATAGTTGGTGAGGAAATTGTTGAGGCTATTCAGCATTGCTTTGCTACCTCTTCTTTTCCTACAGAGGTAAACTCCACACTCTTAGCGCTTGTTCCAAGACTAAGAATCCAGAGGATATGAAATTCTTTCGTCCCATTTCTTGCTGCGACATCATTTATAAATGCATTTCTAAGATAATTTTTGTTAGGCTAAGTGACTGTCTCCCTCATGTGTTCAGTAGTAATCAGACAACATTTGTTAAGGGCAGAGTCATTGGTGAGAATATAATGTTAGCTCATGAATTAGTTCAAAAATATACTTGGAAGAACATTTCAACTCGAAGTATTGTAAAGGTTGATTTGATGAAGGCCACACTACCAGAAAAGTGACTTTTGGCAACACTTGCACTGCAATACTTTTTAGAAGTGTTACATAAAATAAAAATATATGCAACACTTTCGTCACGTGTTGCTTAATGTGTATCTTATGCAACACAAAGTAGTCGTATTTAAATTTTTGTTGCATATGTCTAATAATATGCATCACTTGTGCAATAAAATAAAATATGTTGCCAATTCTTTACATTTTAAGCAACACTTAATTAGAAAATTTTAAGAATTATACATTGTTAACTGTACTTGTATACTATATGATTTAGCATTTGAATTTAAAACTAAATAGAGCTTCACTATGATTATAAAAAGAAGAAAACTTCCAGTATGAATATCAAAATGAATTTGTATACCATTGGTTCCACCAAGCAACCTCATCATCGTCGAATCGATCTCTATTAAGGAAAAGCACAATTATTTCTCTGACAATTTCATATTGTAACTAATGTATTACGATACACATTTGTCGTGAATGTTGTATCGCAGGTGATAAAACCTCATAACAAAAACGTCTTTTTGTTACAAAGACATTGTAACCGGAGCATAACCGATGTGACAGGAAAAGTTTGCAGCCTATGTTGTCGACACTGCAACGATAACTTTGTCACAAAATCTAATAGTGTGACACAATTCTGTCACATAAACATAATTTTATGACGAAATTTATATCACAAAGTTATAGTTTGATTACTTAAGTATTCCCCAATTAGATCTAACAATAGTTGGTTTTATTACTTAAGTGATTCTAACGTTTTTAGTGAATAAAATATTATTACTTAATAATTTTTACACTATTATACGTTGATAAAAGGTAAGTACAACAAATGATGTTATTAGTTAAACAAATAGAAAAATGGTGTTAATTAGCTCATCTGTATACGGAAGTTATAATTGAAGAATATTAATAGTTATCTACAAAATAGTGAAAATTTTGAAATCATGTCAGCGGGAGGATTTTTGAACGATATATAAGTTATTCTTAGACTAATATATTTACAAAGGGAAAGCTGTTTAATAGCTAATCCATAGGGATTTTCTCTTAAAGATCTTCCCAATGCTTTCGACGAGGGAAAACCCTTCAAATTCAGGTCTTCTCCCTCCGTCTATGCCCAACTTCTCCTCTGCTCTCACGATTCCCAATTTCGAGCGCTACTACGAAGTCTTGATCCATAAATTACTAGTCTCGTTTAACGCTTCCGGTAAGTCGGCACGACATCCTCTTTATCTTCTCCCTTATAAGCCGCTCCTTCTCCGGCGAATTTGCGTTCTATTAATTTTTTTTTTACTGAAAATTTTCTTTATGAGAAGAAAAATCTCCAGTTTCATGAGAAACTAAGAAACAAACCATTGGTCTTTGGATTTCCATGTTAACTAATCATCATTTTCTTTCAATTCTCTATTTTGGGGCTTTTCCCATAACTATGCTTACAGGTTTGAAGTGCTTCTAGTAAGTTATCCATCTCAAGAAACAATCCAAGGAGTCAAGAGCAGAAGGAGTTGTGGGTAGGGTTTCATTGCAAGGTTCTTGTGAATTTAGTTGAGTAAGCAAAGGCGGCATGGAAATCAACAATTGACAATTCTCTCCAAGTAGAGCTTAAGCAAGCGAAGAAGAGAACGGTTTTTAGAAAGATATCCGCGAGGTTTCCAATTGATCTAAAGAGAATTTAGATAGGTTTTTTGTACTATTTAGTTCATATTGTTAGAGAGATTGAATATTCGTCAAGATATGTATCTTTTATTTTCATAAATATACCACACTCTGAGAATTTCACGAAGCAACCACGATCAGTCAGCTCATAAACATTCAAGCCTTAAATTTGATTATTT